GAGTGAATGAACAAACTCGCCCAGCGATCTCAGATAAGAGTGCAAGGCAAGCCGATGACGAGACTGTCGAGATCTTGTGTTGACCTAGGTGAAGGACTGGATAACGTTCCTCTCGAAGGGAAAAGAGGAAAGTCAGGAGGAGGAGGAAGTAAAGAGGAAGGAGTAGTTGAGACAAAAGGAAATAAAATGATCAGGGAAGGACGGCATGAGAGGGAGGAAGTAGGCGAGGCGGTGGTCCTTCTACACACGCGAAACCCGAGGGAGAGACCTAGACAGATATAGAAGGAGCACCCGTTTCCCGAACCACTGCAGCAGCTCCAGTTGCAAAATTCTCCGTGTCCCAATCAATGACTGAGGCAGGGTCGTTCGAGGTTCCCTCATGTTTCGTCGCGTTCAACTCGAACAAAAGTCGTCAGCGGAGGGGTCGTCACTTCCACCACTGCACGGCTGGTCAAACTTGACCGAGAGCACCTTCCTGACCTAGATTGTTGTTACGTTCTTTTGCAGTCAGGGAAGGGGCAACCCCCCGAAAGTATACCAGGTTGACCTGGTCTTCTCTGTTAATGGTATGTTAGAATTCATCACAAAAGACAGACCTGCTTAGCCGGGCTGAAACCTGAGAGACACTAACCCCTTAATCTTCGAGACCTCAGTTGATGAACTATTGGGTTCAAGTTGAGGTCATCAAAAACCACCTACCAGCCCTACTCACTCCAAGGTGAGAGATATGGTGTCTTTTGGGCTGTTCCCTGCCTCTGTTCCTGGCTCCATAAGGAGAAGGGAACTGGGTGCCGACAGCTTGACAAGCATCATAATGCGACTGTGTGTGGGGACAAAGCTTTGAGTCTCTTCCCTTGTTATTTGGACAGGAACACGACAGAGGACTTGGGGAACTGGAACATCCCGAGATTGTACCTGGGCTTGCCGAGTGTCCATGACGATAACGCTTCAGTTTCCGTCCTTGAGTTCCAGTCTGACTGACGATGGCCTTGATGTGCTGGGGATTTCCATGCACAGAACCTTGAGATGATATGGCATCTCCGGGAGGAAGCTTCCAAGCCTTTCCTTTCTGCTCTAGAATGTTGCTTGAATGTCCCTGTTTGCTTGTTGTTCGGTGGTGTTGTGTCCGCCGATACTCTCCCGTCGCTCCCTCTCTGCTACCTACCGTACGTACGCCCATGGCATCTGCTTCCTTCCCATTTTGTGGGATTGTATCAACGACCCAGTTGCAGAATTCTGCCAGGAGAGCTGCATGATCGGGAAGTGAACCTGAAATCTCAGCTTTCCTCTAGAGGCGCATGAGGGACAGCATCAACCCAACGCTTATGTGCAGATAATGGCAGCAAATAAGGCCATAGTGATCTTGGGTTTTTGTCGACTCTTCTTCACTTGATACGACATCAAAACACTTCCCTTTTCGGCTCCTGGCTGAATCTGTACACTCTCCCCCCTGTGTCATCTCGCTCCCGTGGTAACACCATCGAACATAGCGCCACAGTCCTCACACGATAATCAGAATACCGGGATAGCTATCCGCAAACTGAAGGTTTCCCGGGACTGCCTCAGCAAGCGTGCGCAAAGGTGTCCTGTTTTGATCAGGGCACAAGTTAGAATTAGGAGTAAGAGTCAAGTTGGAAAGAGAGCTAACCGTTGGTGACTGACCAGCGGCCGAGTTCCAGTTGATAATCCATTAGATAGCGCCACATCGGCTCAAACTCCGTGAAGGCGTTGAGCTGGGTGATGTGCAGCAATCCGTGGGGCACCGTTACAAACCCGAAGACGTCAAAACAAAATGACAAAGGTACTTAAAGTATGTAAGCAACCGGTCGAGTAGATTGGGTGTTCCTGAAGGAGTGTCACACATTTGGTTTGTGGCGCCGTGGGAGATACAGCAGCATGTACCATGTATCGACAGGTAGTTGCTGGGAGGACTACCCCTTGAATATCTTGTGAGTGAAAGCTATCGCAAGCATTTGACTGCTCACGTCTGCCATGTCATGATCCGATGTTTGTCTGTGACAAGAAAAAAACAAAAGTTCTAGGACTCACATATGTTGGTTCACTCTCTTGCCTGCACTTGCGGAAGAAGGCCCTGTCAAGCTGGTCGCCGCTTTGGTCGGGGAGATCGGGTTTGTGCACCATCAAAGTGCCTACCTGCATGGCGTATCCGGCCGTTGGAAAAATGACGGGAACAAGAACGACGCCTCGACCGCGAAGCAAACTGACAAGTACCGCAGCCGAGCCCGCTCAAACTGCTTCCCCGGCAACTCTTGACATGTTTCGGTTTAATTACTAACCGTATATGAGCTTTGAAGGTGTGAGCAACACAGGTTCAGGAAACTTGAGACACTCATTATCTCAAAGACAACACGTGCAATACACTCTGCTCCAGTTTGAGACAGTCTTTAGTGTCGAGGCTTGTTTTAGAACACTCACTCGAAAGCCACGCTGAAAACTTTGGAACCCTCATGGAATTAAAACGTGCTTATTCTCGTATTCAGCGTCGTGAGGCCATCACCGGGTGGAGATAATGTCCTAGCCTCCCAATACTCCGAAATGAAGAGGCGGATAAAAGTTTTGACAGAAAAACATTGAAGGAAAAGCCTGGAAGTCGGAATCAAGCGAAGGCTTGAGCTGGTTGCACAGCATCCTGCGCTGTCAAAATGCCGTACCTCTTCGGCCAAGCAGATGCAACATGCAACACCGCCTTCGAATTGACCAACTGTGTCATGTTAAAGCTACCTCCACTCAGGGGTGTGCATCTGTGTGATGCATTGACGAATGTCAATCTTCTGCTCTGGTACCATCTCACTCGGCTTTCTTTGCCGCTTCACGAAGACCAGGAGCTGTGCCATCGGTCATCTCGGTCTCCTTGTTCTCGATATCGGCCGCCCAGAGTGCCGCACCAACTATAATAGTCGTTAGTTGCTTATAGTTTTCTCAGGGAAGACCTAGTTTGCCCAAGTGAAACTTACCGGCGTTCGTGAATGAGAAGAACACGGAAGCAACAGGAACCATTTCAAGGAGCGTAGCCAGAATACCGAAGCTGTTATGTATGTCGTCAGCGTTAACCCAGTCGATAAAGCATCGCTTCCTTATGACATCAACAACCCCTGTGCAAACTCTAGCCGACAGTGTTTACGGACGGATTGTAGGCCAGATTTTTTGAGAACATTTGATCGAAAAGAAGTTACTTACGCCGAATATGGGCCTACATGCTCTGAGAGCCACTGCGCCTTTTGGCTCGCGGACCATCGCTTGAGTTGAAAGTACTGACTCCAAGGTTAGCATCGTTATCTTTTGGTAGTTGAGCAGAAAAGGCATTGAGGTGTCATTGACTTACCCGGTCGTGAACCGTGCTGCCGCGAGAGCGTCCTATCGGACGTTAGTGCCACATCTCACATGTAAACAGAGGACGAGCACTTACCTTGCAAGATAATGAATGCTACCGTGCCGACAACTATCCAACTTTTGTATTAGCATATGTAACTCATGAGAAACGTAGTGCAATGGTGGGGGGAGGGGGGAAATTGCTCTGTACCTGGAATGAAGTTGAGCGGCAGGTACATGATATATCGAACCAATGCCTTGGGCTGAAACGCTGGAAGGGGTTCTTGAGAATCTTTCCCAATCTCTGAATGGGATCTCTGCCCGACTTGAGCTCTCTGCCTTCACTGACGAGGTTGGTAGCGTCCCTGGAAACCAGGGTGCCGTCAAAGGTGTCCAAGAGGGCATCCTGCATCACAAAGTTCCTGGAGAGGAACGAAATGACCGCAGAGCTCTCGTTCAAGACGAGCACTGCTGTGGTGAAGACTGCGAGAGGTCCGTTGACGAAAGTCATGAGCGCGAGTTGCGGCACGTAGGTGAAGAAAAACATGCCCGTCACCACTCCGACAGACAGCGTCACAATAGGGGCCAACTTCTTAAGGAGGGGCTTCCAAAGGCTGCGATGGCTCAAGAAGTAGAAGATTCCCTAGAATATTAAGAAAAGCATCGTCAACATGATATTCCGGCCGAGAGGGTTTCACTGCAAAGGTATGCGAACAGACCTTGACGGGATACAAGTAGGACCCGCTCTTTGCAGCATCGTTGATCAGGGTTTTGGCGCGGTCGTAGTCCTCTTTCCTGTTCCCGTCATTAAGCATCAATATCAAGTATCCGGCCAGGTACTCTTCAAATACGGAGGCCTTACGCGACTTCCTGGGCCTTGGCCTGGACTGACTCGACAACACCCGACATAGTATCGTGAGTAATATGGACAACTGAAGGGTTGAAATGGGTGATAATCGTTTGCTGTAAAGACGGGAAAGGTAGACGGTATCGCGGTCGAAGAGCTGGTGCGGTTGTAGAATGAAAAGCACCACAATATTGCAGTGTAGGTAAAAACTCTAGGTTCTCGTCGAAGAGTGTGGGTGTTTGAAGGACTCGAATAGTTGACGAGCGAGAAGGAAGACATGAACCGTATCAGATAAAGTCGAGGGGGACGCCCGGGGCCTGATGCCTCAACTACGTCATCACGCAGCTCGACCGTTTGCAAAGTCTTGGCATTCAGGCACGACTTCACCTCCCTTGCTCCCCATGCCTTGTCTCCAAGACCTCAATTGTGCAACTACGACAAACATCTGTCGTGAGCCATAGTCAACGAAGAAAACTGCCTTCAACGTCAAAATCAGTTTACACATACCTCTACCTCTAGTCTACAACTACCGGGGATGGACTTGCCATTTGGAAGGTGATCCCGTTGATTCAATTATGTATAAATGCCAGCGCCGCCAGCTTTCGCTCTATCCAATTTGGCATAACTTTGTGATTCTGCCGACAGTGAAATGCTTTCTGCCATGCTTGTTTTGTCACTCCAATTTGAATAGGCTTCTTTCACGACGGCGATAGACGATCACCTTGTCGCAACAGAAGCCTTCACAAGTAGAATACATTGTGACTTGACCCATTCCACTCTTCCCACCCTAGGGAGATGTCGTGATATCATTCCGTTTTTCTAGAACTTTACTCCGAATTTGATACAGCAAGTATCCACCGCCACAATAGCCCATATGTATGTGAAATCCGTATTCCCAGCCCGTATCATGATCCGCCATACCAATATCCGTCAATGCCGTTGAGATATTACACTTCGCGTAAGGGAGCGTTGAAGATAAAAGAAAATATAATGGGAGGGAGAAGAAAAGGCGCCACGACCGTATCATTCCGGTAAGGCATGTTGGGGTATGCCTATGTTTATTGGCCTTGTCGGTTGGCCCAGCATGATTCTGCGTTGCAGAGCAAATGAACCCCTTCTAGATTATAAAGAGGAAGAGAAAAGAGTCTCTGAAAACCTTGCCTCCTATGTCCAATGCAGTTTCTGAGGCAATTACAAGCACTAGCTCTAGGAAACAGGCGCGAACGGTTGACATAATGGTGTTAAAGGCGCAAGTGACGAATTTAAGATGGGGGCGTCATGAGCAGTGCTGGCCTAGGAATAAAGGGCCTCAACCAAGTAAATGACGCCGAAGACGAGGAAGGCCACAGCACCACCGACAGTGACTAGAGCGCGAGGGTTAGCATGCGTCTGTTGAGAGAAGAACTATGGTCAACTTACCAACTTTCAGGCTGACCTTGCCTGCAATAGCCTTTCCACCGATGACGGCAACACTTGTGCAAATACCGTGGCCCACAACAGCCCCAAGCGTTACCCACCAATAGTCCTGACCAGCCGCCATGGCAATGGTTGCAATTTGGCTGCGGTCACCCCACTCGCCCAAAAAGGTCATAACGAAAGTTTGGACCCAGGCAGGACTGAGAAGAAGTGACACAAGGTTGTTAAAACCGGCAAGGCATTCCGTAAGGTTTCTTCCACGCGGCGATGCGTTCCGTGCATCGGGGGAGCTGGAGGGGCTTCGGGGCGGCGTTGGGAAGCGGGACTTGGAGCGAGACTTGCGGTTACCGAGGCCCATTTCCAAACTGTAGGGAGAGACGCTCGACCTCCTGCGGCCCTGCTTACGGGCAAGGTGTTCCTTCTCCTCGAGCTCCTGTTCTACCTCCTGCATCTCGGCGGAAACACCTTCATCGGGACTCATGGCCATACCTTCGCGGAGCAGCCGAGCTCCAAAGATAAGGAACAGACCAGCAGCTAGGAAGTTGGTGATCTTTTTGGGAATAAGCGTGGGTACGGCATGTCCCAGGACGGCTGAGAGGATGGTCATGGTGATCAAGGCAGCAAAAGCGCCAGAAAACACAACAAGGCGGTCGTGCTTCATGGCCATCAGGGCAGCCACGAGGAAAGTCTTGTCGCCGATCTCGGAGAAGAGAATCATAGTGAACGAAAGGAAGAAGGAATGGAAAGGTCTGATGACGCCTTCAGTGCCTTTGTCGAGATCGCCGAGGCTTGCTGTCTTCTCCCCACTGGAAACGTCTAGGTGATCGATTCTACCCGGCCGAGTCAGGCAGAGGGGGGGATTTATCGTGGGTTTTGTCAGGGAGATCTGTTGGTTTCTGAACTGATTGTTAGCTGGGCCCCGGTACAACCGGGTAGACATGCTAAGCTCACCTCGAAGCCCGTGATATCGTCTGCTGCCTTATCACCATATTTGTCCTGCATTTCTTTGTCGATCTTGTCCTGCTCAACGTGCGGCAGGGGAGGAGCCTCCTTGGGAGCCTGAGGCGTGTTTTGGACCTTCTCGCCAGTCTCGTTTTCCTTCAAGATCCTCTCCTTGGTCTTCTCGCTTACACCACCGCTTGTGCCTGTGGTACCTTCCTTGGGCTCCTGTCGGCTGGGGTCGTCCATCACTCCATCGTTGGTGTCGGGTATCTTCTTCCCCCCTACAATTGTTGGATCTTCTGGGCGGTCTTTCAAAACAGGCAAGTCCTTGGTGGTTTCGGGAGCAGAAGACTCAAAGTCGACAAAGGGGCCCGCGTGCGGCTTCCCATCCTTGCCATCGACAGGCGCATCTTTAGTGCCGTACTTCTTGACGGCCGGTGGAACGTCGACTAGGGAATCGATAGCCGCATTTTTCTCGAGCTGCTTGCTGCTGTCCGTCGTCGACTGCGCGAGGACGGCAGTGGCCGCAAGGGAGGGGATGAGAAGCTGTCGTAGTCTCATGGTGGCGGCGACTTTAGGTCGGTGTCTGTCTTGTTGAAATCGGGGTCAATGTTGCCAGAAGGCGGATGTATATTGATAGCGTTGTGATCGGCGTCTTCACAAACGTGGTGATCGTCAGGATATCGAGAAGAGCTGGCGCGGGACCAAAGAAGGTAAAGAAGTAGAAAACTGTCGTCTCACCGCATGGAGTTGAGGAGGTAAAGACAGTTAGGAGCGATTGAAAAGGCGGACAGATGGTGATTCTGCCCAATGTCAGTGCCAAAGGCGGAATCAGAGCAGAACTGGCCAGAGGCAAAAGTCGCGATGGAAGTTCTGCGGTCCGTTGACAGATGGAGTGTTTAATCAGGGGTTCCAGCCTTTTGGAGCTTTTCTTGGAAATGCTGGGGTTGATGCACGAGAAAGGGTGCACGTCGCACAGCCACTGCGCGCTTGGATTCCCCCCTGGTCGCCCCCAAGGAACCGGGCATCTGTTGCCCACGGGCCGTACCTACCTATTCAAACAACAACCGCGGCGGGCAACTTGGCGATATTTATTTCAGCTATCCCTCACCTAACAGGGTCTTGCTTGTTTGACTGCAACAGCCCCTTAGTGTCTGTTAGAGATCCACCATAGGTCAGGGGTAAACCGCCCAACGGAACTGATATCCGATGTTCACCAAAACACAGGGCGATTAGTAAAAACTACCCACGAGGAGAAAGCGATGTCAAAGCCATAGCAAAAGCTCTTTCCATGAGTTTGGTTATATCATTATGTGCGTTTATTCCACGAGGCCTTACCGCCAGCCAGCCAGTCAGTTGTGTATGTAGGGTCGGTTCGAACCCCTTGCGGATTGCTGTAACAACGGATGCTTATGTTGCAGCTAGTGTTTCCGACTTGAATGAGGCTCCCAAGGGACATGATTTCTCGTCTCGTGGAAACCACCACCACTCTAACACATTGACCGAAATGGACGCTGTGGCAGAGGATACTTGGCAGTTTGCGGTCTTTATAAGGTCCCGGTAGTCGGTAAGCTTTACGTAGGTACCTTGGGACTTTTCCAGCGACTCAGTCTCCGGGAGCATGCGCTCACATCCGGCTCTTACCAGTCTGATACCTGTTCATCCAGACGAACCCTCTTGACTGAGAGCAAATGCCACGATGTTGTCCTATGATCCTGAATACTAATTTCCAACAACCCTTCAGAATAACCGCGGTAACTCCGTAGCTACGTTGCGTGACATGAAAACTTGGGGTTAGTCAGGTCGAGGACTGTTCAGAGCTCTCAATGATGCCCAAGTAGGAAACGGAAATCCAGGGTGCACTGAAGAGGTACCCTTGAACACACATAGTGGAGTCATTACCATGGTTGAATAATATACCTGCGGTAGTTAGGTAAGTCGGCATCATCACTTATGCAGCGGGCTCACCACAAGGTATTTTGAGACCTGGACGTAGAGGTCACGGTAGGAACTCACATTGCTCGAAATATCGAAGTGAATGTTACGTCCGGCATGAGGTTGCGCTTGCCCGCTGCAAGACGCGGTTCACGTAACCGATTGTCCCCTGGAATGGATGACGACGCTGCTATGCTGTCACGTGAATTATCAGGGCCTATGTAGTGGTGGGGCCAGCTTCCCGTCCTTGGCAAAAGAATTGAATGGGCCTCCCTCCTCCAACCCCGAAATCGTCAGCGAAAATCTCAAAACAAACTTCGTCGGCACGGATTGAACCCTAACCCCAACCCTTCTTCGATTGTCGTCGACGACAGCACGCGCATTCCCATCCATCTTCCTCGACAGTTGAGTTCACGAAACGTGCTGCTCAGAGAATCAGTGAGGGGAACAATGACAGGACGCGGGAGAGGTCGTCCTGCCACGCGGCAACAGCAACCGGCCGAGGGAACGACAGTTGCTGTCCGGCGTGCCACGCGTCTTCAGCAGCAATCTCCGCCACCTCCTCAAGGGGAACAGGTAGAGCAGCAGCAGCTTCAGCAGCATCCGGTTCAGGATGCTCAGATTGACCCAACCCTCACTGGTGCTCAGGAATCAGAGATGCCTCCTCCTCCTATCCCAGCCCCGAAAGGCCAAAGTGAGCAAGCCGTTGTTGAAGTTGCTCGTCGAAGCACGCGCCGTGATGCCCGTGCTGGGAGCATGGTGAGCGTTAATAGCGTTCTTACACGTGTCTCTGGGACAGATGCCTTCTCCTCTCAACCAGAAACCCCAGGTAAGAGTAAATGATCTGTTTGCCAAGAATACTCATTGATCCTTTACAATAGGTATCGGTCTTCGTAGAGGCACTTCAACATCACTCACTGGTACCCCGGCTCGTGAGGTACCTATTTTCACAGATTCCGAGTCGGGCAGAACTCCGGTAAAGAAGGGAAAGGAGAGGCTCTTGATGAGCCGCATGTTGCCGCATCTCTTCGCTTCGGCAGACAAACTGTTCACTCTACTGGCCACAACAGACCCTCAACAGAGAGACCTTGTTGAGCAGGCAGCCTTGGAAGACGAGTTCGACATGTACCGCTTACGGTATGTCTCGAACCAGAGCCAACCCAGCATCAATCTCAAGCACGTTCTTTCGACCCTGGAAGTCGACCCTACCTCACCGGCCGGTTCCGACGCCTGCAAGATCGTGACGCTCGCCAATCTTGTTAAAATCTTCGATCGAATTGACGTGATTCAGCAGGATCATTCCGAAGACCCCTTGACCGACCTGCAAGTCTGCGATGACATAATCGCCCAGTCTATGGTAGTGGATGAAGTTGAGAACTCGGCGGTCCTTAAGCCAGAAGACATCATGACTCAAGTTGTGGAAATCCGGACGCTTCTGTTCATGGCCACTCTCAAAGATCTCGAGGTGCAGAACCAATTTCCGATAAGCCGGTCGGAGGTATTGTCGGACACGTTTTGTCAAGAGAGCCCAAGTATGGAAGCAGTAGAGGACTTCAAACAAGGCAACAAGGATGCTTTGCTGCTGAAGTTTGTCCCGGGCATTGACCCTAACGATGACCCTTGGCACAAGGAAGAGTATATTACACGGTTGCGGTCCATCTGCGAATACCTGCCCAATGAAAGCCATCGACCCCGCAACTCTTCAAGCTTGCTTGGAGCAAATCAAGAAATTCTATGACCCTCAGAGCTCTCTACGGGCTATTAGGGAGAGCCTGGAAGCCTGTTTCCAGGAAATCAAACGACAACTACAACCTGTGACACCGGGACCGTCCTACCCAGCTACCCACTATGGCGCGCCAGATTCATCGGCAGTGGATTCGCAGATTCAGTCTCAGTTGGAGAGCGAGTCACTGGCACATACTGGGTACGCCTATAACCTCCTCGGCTAAATGGTCCTATGCTAATATGATATATATTGCAGGCAAAGACAGCAGCCGTATATGGCAGCTCTTCGTGCTATGAAGCAGGATCAGGAATCGGAGAGCGGTGCTTCACAATCACAGGATGGAAGTTATTCGACGACCCAGGATCTCCTCGATCAAGGCTACGGGTTTGCATCGAGCAGTTACGCCTCATTGGGGCGCGCCTCATACCCCCCTAACTACGACGCTCAACCATCATCATCTGTGGTATACCCTGGCCACCCGGGTGCCATTCAAAACGGCGTTGAGTACGCACGATCTGCCGCCCAGCTAGGCCGTTCTAAGCGTGCTTCTCCAGGCGAGAATGGGGGTGTAGCCGATGGAGCAGATGCGGGCAAACGACCAGCTAAAAAGCCAAGGACACGCCGGAACAAGCCCACTGTTCCCATGCCTGCCGCAGAGGGTGCATCGGGGGATGCTGAGACGCCTTCTTCATCTGCCGCTACTGCTGCTGCCGCTGTCGCTGCTGTGGCTAGGTACTCACCGTTCACCGACACGCAGGCCGAGCCCGACTTTGAGTTTGTCGCGCAACGCACGAGGGAGCTCTCGGCAGCCAACCGCAAGGCAAGAGAACCACAACAACGGTCGCCTTGGGTTCGCGACGACATCAGGCAGTTGGTCAAGGCGGTGGATATGTACAAGTGCAAATGGAGCGTCATTGAGAAGGAGATAAAGGAGGGCAAGCTTCCTTTTGTGCGCCCTCGGGACCAGCAGGCTTTGCGAGACAAAGCTCGCTTGCTAAAGCAAGACTTCCTAAAGTGAGTGGCATGACACCTTGCCACGAAACCTCCCCTAGTTGTTACTGACACGTCTGTTAAAGGGTTGATGCTATTTTGCCTCCTTCGTTTGATCTCGTTGTGCTGGGTAAGAAGGAGAGAAATGCCGTGATTGCATGCGGCAAGAATCCGGACCGCAAGGAAGCCGACATAGCGAACGGAATCCCCATCAATACCGAGTATCGACAAAATGAGCAGGAGCAAGCAAATGCTGCGGAAGCGGGGGACCAAGCACATGTACAAGGCGAGGAACAACCGGAGATGCAACTCGAAGCACAGGCGGAGGTACAAACTGAGGCGCAGCCCGAGGCTTCGGCAATGGTTCCAGCTGAGGCGCATGTTGACGCAGAAGCGATAGAAGCTGCTTCCATGTCATAGGGTCCATTTGGGCATCCTATCGCTGATGCTACGCATGTGAGGGACGGGACCGAAGAATAACATAGGGAGCTGCGCCAACGGAAACGCCCAAAAGCGAACAAGCAACCATATCGGAAAATAAGGTTTATGTTTTATAAGCCAAGGCGAGGCTTTGTGCTCTTCCCGGAGGTACGAAAAGGAAGAGATGGGTGCGACGGATGGTCGGACCTACTGTATCCTTAAGTGCAGGCTGGGGTTACCATTGGAAAGAAACAATCAATAGCAAAAAGGGCTCATGACGATGCACCCTTTGCAAGGTGGTCAGTATCAAGCTGTCGTTCAGGTTGACAATCAAAGACGGCCAGCGTCCGAGTTGGGGTGTAAAGCTCAACACTGAACCGGTTCAGGAGTATCAATAAATATTAAGATAGCGTAGTGTTAGGCGAGAGACGTACTAGTAGTGTCAGCACTGCTGTATCCTCATGGTGGTTGTAGTAACTAGCGACCTTCGTCCTATTCTTCTTTCAGAAACACAAATGCCATAGCAGGTTTATCTCTGTCAAACATGTTTTCCAAGAGTACTTTATCATTCCGTGTGATATCTTGAGTGATTGATCTTGAATTCAACCAAAGAAAACTAACGGAAAGGAAGCAACTGTATAAATAACAGCAAGTGGTCTGTGCGCTGTAACACCCCTTGACGTTGACGATGCATGGAAGCTTGCAATTGGCTCCTTCCGGGGGGCTTTCAGCCTCTCAGGTGCACTGGCAGCGTGGAGCACGGACTCCTTGACACCTCAGTGGACTCCCCCTCGACTGTGCAGCGGAATTGGCAACGTCGCGAGTTGGGGATATTTGCTGGCCGCACCGCCGCACAGGCAACATTGCAGCCGCTACTCCGTTATTTCGTACCTCTATTGTTCTAGCCTCGACTTGCTTACCTGAACAACAACAACCTGGGTTTCCCAAATCCACAATACACCTCCAGCACCCATCGTCGCCCTGCCCGCTATGAATTACGGCAAGAAGGACGAGGATGCTGAGACGGGTCTGGTCAAGGTTGACCGGACCCAGGTCTTCCAGGAGGGTGAGTCCTGAGTACCTAGACAGCTGAGGCCTTGTCGTCGGGTGGACGTGGCCCTTAGCTCCTAACCTCCTCAAGACTGACCGGTGGTTCGACATACAGCCCGCCTCTTCAACAACTCCCCCATCCAGCCGCGCAAATGCCGTATCCTCCTCACCAAGATTGCCCTCCTCCTCTATACCGGCGAAAGATTCCCGACAAACGAGGCGACGACGCTGTTCTTCGGTATCTCGAAGCTCTTCCAGAACAAGGATGCCAGCCTACGACAGATGGTCCACCTTGTCATCAAGGAGCTAGCCAACTCGGCCGAGGATATCATTATGGTTACCAGCACCATCATGAAGGATACTGGCGGTAGTACCGATGCCATCTACCGTCCGAATGCCATCCGCGCCCTTTGCCGCATCATCGATGTAAGCGGCCATCCCCGAGCCCCTGCAATGCGCCCCTCGGCCCCTTAAATGGCTATCCAATGTGGAGCTAACCCCGACCCTTTGCAGGCCACCACAGTACAGTCCATCGAGCGTGTCATGAAGACGGCCATTGTCGACAGAAACCCCTCAGTATCTTCGGCCGCCCTCGTATCATCATACCATCTTCTCCCCGTCGCAAAGGACGTCGTCAAACGGTGGCAGAATGAGGCCTCGGAAGCGGCAGCTAACACCAAGTCGACCGGCGGCTTCTCTCTCGGTTTCGGATCTTCCAACAGAGACCTGCCCATCAACAACTCAACCATGACCCAGTATCACGCAATTGGCTTGCTCTATCAGATGCGCATGCACGACAGGATGGCATTGGTCAAGATGGTCCAGCAGTTCGGTGCCCCCGGTGCCGTCAAGAACCCCGCCGCTCTCGTGTTGCTCGTCCGTCTTGCCGCCCAGCTGGCCGACGAAGATCCGCACCTTAGAAAGCCCATGATGCAGTTGCTGGATGGCTGGCTCAGGCACAAGAGCGAAATGGTCAACTTCGAGGCCGCGAAGGCGATCTGCGATATGCGGGACGTCACCGACGCTGAGGTCACCCAGGCAGTCCATGTCCTCCAGCTCTTCCTTACCTCGCCCCGCGCTGTTACCAAGTTCGCCGCTCTTCGTATTCTTCACAACTTCGCTTCTTTCAAGCCGGCGGCCGTTGCTGTGTGCAACCCGGACATTGAGCTCCTTATCTCCAACACCAACCGCTCCATCGCTACCTTTGCCATTACTACTCTACTCAAGACCGGGAACGAGGCCAGTGTGGATCGCCTGATGAAGCAGATTTCTGGCTTCATGTCTGAAATCACCGACGAGTTCAAGATCACGATTGTTGAGGCTATCCGTACTCTCTGTCTTAAGTTCCCCAGCAAGCAGGCCGGCATGCTCCAGTTCCTCAGCGGTATCTTGCGCGATGAGGGCGGCTATGAGTTCAAGCGCGCCGTGGTGGAGAGCATGTTCGACCTCATCAAATTCGTTCCCGAATCCAAGGAGGAGGCCCTCGCTCACCTCTGCGAATTCATCGAAGACTGCGAGTTCACTAAGTTGGCAGTCCGTGTCCTTCACCTCCTCGGTCTTGAGGGACCCAAGACATCTCAACCCACCAAGTACATCCGCTACATCTACAATCGGGTGGTCCTCGAGAACTCTATCGTGCGCGCCGCAGCGGTTACTGCCCTTGCCAAGTTCGGTGTTGGCCAGAAGGATCCTGAAGTCAAGCGCAGCGTGGAGGTTCTTCTTACCAGGTGTCTGGATGATGTTGATGACGAGGTTCGCGATCGTGCTGCTCTCAACCTCAAGCTTATGAAGGAGGAGGATGAGCTTGCGAACAGGTTTGTCAAGAATGGTAAGTTCCCGTCTACGATCTGTTACCCTCCAGATAGTGTGGTATACTAACATTCCAACAGACAGCATGTTCTCGTTGCCCTTTTTCGAGCATCAGCTCGTCACATATGTCACTTCTGACGACAGGTCGACATTCGAGGCGCCTTTCGATATCTCCAAGATCCCTGTTGTTACCCGCGAGCAAGCAGATGCCGAGGATAGGACCAAGAAGCTGACTGCTACGACACCTTCTCTCAAGCCGCCCAAGGTCGGACCAACCAAGGCGGCTCCCACTAGTGCTGAGGCGGCTGCATCAGCGTCAGCGGCTGCGCAGAAGTATGCTCAGGAGTTGATGCAGATCCCCGAGATGGCAGAATTTGGCGCCGTTCTCAAGTCGTCGCCGGTGGTAGAGTTAACCGAGGCGGAGACTGAGTACGTCGTTTCAGTTGTCAAGCATATTTTCAAGGAGCATATCGTGCTCCAATACGAGGTCAAAAACACTCTTCCCGACACCGTATTAGAGAATGTCTCTGTCGTAGCCACTCCCTCGGAAGAAGAGCTCGAGGAGCTATTCATTATTCAGGCCGAGAAGCTCGACACCGACGTTCCCGGAAAGGTGTATGTGGCATTCAGAAAGGTCAACGGTGAAGGTTCGCTACCAGTTAGCGCCTTCTCTAACGTCCTCAAGTTCACCAGCAAGGAGATCGACCCCAGCACCGGTGAGCCTGAAGAAACCGGATACGATGACGAGTACGAGGTTGCCGAGTTCGATTTGGCGGGAAGTGATTATGTCATTCCCGTATTTGCCAGCAACTTTGCGCATATTTGGGAGCAGGTTGGTGCTTCTGGGGAGGAGGCGGAGGAGACATTGCTGCTCAGCAGCATGAAGAGCATAGCAGGTAAGTCAAACCCCTCTGGTTTTAGACTCTTGTCAGACCCATCCATTAACATTCAATAGATGCAACTGAACAACTAGCAAAGACTCTGTCGCTACAACCCCTCGAGGGAACAGATGTGCCCCTCAACCAGACCACACATACGCTCAAGCTCCTTGGAAAGACTGTCAATGGCGGCAGAGTGGTAGCCAACGTCCGTATGGCCTTCTCGGCCAAATCGGGTGTTACTACGAAGATCACTGTCAGGAGCGAGGAGGAAGGCGTGGCTGCGTTGGTTGTGGCGTCTGTTGCTTAAAGAGCTTAATGAAACGGGTAAGGTATCAGCTATGACCTTTACCTTGGTAACTTGAGGGATGTTGGTTGTTTGGTGTTAGCTTGTTGTCCGCATGGCGTTTTACCCCAAACTTTAGTACTCTATTATTACTTTACGTCATACTATTTGGTAGAGAAAGACAAAATTACGGAGTTCTTTCTTCTGGATAACATGGCTGCATGAGAGCTTAGTGGAACGAAACTGCGAGAGCAGTCTGGCCAGGGAGTTTGTCCTGTCGTAGTCGATATCGGGGTCTCGAATCTGCACACCGTCCACTGGAGATCGTCTCCATGAGTTCAACCATGAGCAACGAATCTAGAACTCCTATAGGTCAGTTGGTTGACTGCATTATGTCTACGTACCATGATTTCTCTTCGTAAAGAGATCACATCCGTACATTTATGCGCCTTAGACAGCTAGTGAACATGACACTATCTCCGCTGTCAGCTGCCTTGTCAATCACGGGCCATCAGGGTTCATTGTGCAAGGAAGGGATATGACGCAAGCTTTGGGGTTGGGCCAAGTGGCCGGGACCTGGGCCTCAACATTGGAGTCGGAATTCATGCAAGCGTTGAAAGTCACACGGAGGGGAAAAACGGTGCGACGTTGACCTCCCTCTCAACAGGGCGCGAAGTGCGACGCGTCATAACCAGCAAGGACAACATTACACGACATCTTGAAAACAAGCAATTGTCCCGTTCAAAATGATATGTCGTACGTACTGGGCCAACCTTCCCACCTTCGAGCCTGGTGAAATAAAGGGAAGCTGAATCCTGAGGGGCTGTGAGGGGAAAGCCAACCCACGCGCGCAGAAAGTGTTCCACTCTATGCCGGATCCCCGTTCTTTTTGATGGAAAGATCCACTTTATTTTCTCCTTCTCCGACTTCGACATTCTTCTTTTATTTACTTTCGGATCATTGTCCCCTCCCTATATTTCCCTCAAGCTCCCTCCCCTCAAATCTCGGCTTGTACGAAGAAAGCATCTCCGAGCGAACTGTCTCCCGCGAAAGCCTGAACGAGGCATTGGCTTATCGCCTTGATCTTCCAAGGCCACAAGCTTAGGTTGCTTAGCAACACCGAAGAGCGATACCGGACGAACAGCCATTGTCAGTCATCCAGACTTCTGGCGTTCACGCGATATTCCACCTTCCAACCCAGAAACTTGCCCATTCTAGCTTTAGAGCAGATTGGACCGCTAGACGCTACGGATAAAACCCTCGATCCAAAGTCAAGATGGTTTACGTACGCCAGGAGAAGCTGCCGAACTTGCGGCAATACAAGTACTCGGCCGTCGATCACTCTTTGACGTCCAAATACATCCTCAAGCCCTTCTACACCAATGTTGTCATCAAGCTGTTCCCCATGAGCATGGCTCCCAACCTGATCACGCTCACTGGTTTTATGTTCGTCGTCGCCAACTTCCTTACTCTGTTATGGTACAACCCTACCCTCGACCAGGATTGCCCGCCTTGGGTCTACTACAGCTGGGCCGCCGGTCTGTTCCTCTACCAGACCTTTGATGCCGTTGACGGCACCCAAGCGTAAGTTCTCCCCTTGGCATGAAATGCTTTAGCCACTGGAACAATGTAGACTGACGATGATCCTTAACACAGTCGCCGCACTCGCCAATCCGGACCTCTTGGTGAACTCTTCGATCATGGCGTCGACGCCCTCAACACCTCACTCGAATGCCTTATCTTCGCCGCCTCCCAGAACATGGGCCAGAGCTGGTACACCGTCGCGACCGTCTTCGCCTCTCTCCTGACTTTCTACGTTCAAACCTGGGATGAGTACCACACCAAGACGCTCACCCTGGGCATCGTCAACGGGCCCGTTGAGGGCATCCTGATCCTCGTGGGCGTTTACACCCTGACCGGCTACCTCGGCGGCGCCTCCTTCTGGCAACAGGGCATGCTCCCCACGCTCGGTGTTCCCCAGACCCTCACCTTCGGCAGCACCGTCTTGACCCTGCCCAGCTTCTTTTACAACCTCTCCTTCACCGAGTGGTACATGGTCCAGGGCACCGTCGTGCTGGTCTACAACACGGTCGAGTCCGCCCGCAACGTGATCCGCGCCCGCCGCGCCCGTGGCGACCGCTCGCGCTACGCCCTCGTCGGTCTGTTCCCCTTCTTCGCCACCTGGACGCTCGTGGTAGCCTACCTGTGGCTGCAGCCTAACATTCTGCACGGCCACCTGGTTCCCTTTGTTTTGTTCGCAGGTATCGTCAACGCTTACAGCGTCGGCCAGATGATCACGGCCCATCTCGTCAAGCTCGACTTCCCCTACTGGAACGTCATGGTGATCCCGCTCGGCTTAGGCGTCTTTGACTCGCTCGGCCCCCTCATTCATACGTACGCGCCCGATGGCCTCAAGAACCTCGGCTGGCCGTCGGCGCTGGGCGATGGTGTCTATCAGGTTGCCTTCATGTTCTGCATGCTCGGCATGGCAGTTGGCGTCTATGGCAGCTTCGTGGTGGATGTCATTGTTACCATCTGCGATTACTTGGACATCTGGTGCTTGACTATCAAGTACCCCTTTGTGGAGGGCCAGGATGATCCCAAGGTGTCTAAGCAGGTTATGGGAAGCAAGGAGGAAAAGAAGGAGCTATGATTGTTCGGGTCTGCTCTTCCTACGATTAGAGGTGTTGCGATGGGGAAGGGAGGCGGGCAAGTTAAGAGGAGGAAAATTGACGGCAAGCAAGTACGGCGCGGTACCCTGAAGCGACAAGGAGTACAGACCAACTCGCAATGAGCGAGGGCGCGCGGGAGGGGATGCGGGTTGGAGGAGGGGGAGGAGGATAAAGTGAGGATATGGGGCCAACGGGTTCGACCGACTGGTCGGGGTATCGATATACCATTTATCCCCATCATGACATTCCAAACTCGGAAAACATGATAGAGGTGATTGCGTTCCTGCTTGGGTTCCTTCTTATGACGAATACACGGACGTAAACGACACATGATGATGATTTTTCCGCTTTCTTTCAGTCATTTCTATTTTTCTCTGGGATGGGTTGGGTTTTGGTTAGGTGGAAAAGGGGAAGAGAGAAGAAGAGGAGGGTTTACCGCAAGGAAAGAAAACGGGTGCATAAGCACGCATAGGTACGCAAATGGTAGAAACCCACATCGTGTATTTCTAGCGTTGTTGAGCGCGGCGTCCCGATGAACCATATATCCGGTTTCTTCTACTGCAGAACACACAGTTATGATGGTACCATGGCTTCATTTAGACATCATAGGTCAGATAAAGATAAGTTAAGGTGTGTGGGCACCAAAGAGAGCGGTATATACTTAGGTCGTACATACAAGTGTTTCCAGTGTAAGACCTCCTTCATCGCTCATGGTGAGATACATAATTCCAGAAAAGATAAGCCAACTCCGCTAGTCCAAGATAAATGCAAGTAAGGTTCCCATGAATTGCCCCAAAGATACCACCCCGGTTTAACACCTGTCCAACTGACGAAGGTATGGGCTTCGTTGCCGAAAAGCAAATAACCATTCATCCAATATTCCATCCAGCCCTCGATATGCTTGTATGTGACTGATATGCACCATGTTCATCCCTTCCCATCTTTTTGTTCAGCTCGTATCCCTTTTCCCTCGTGATATATGCCCGATGTTGTTCGTCGCCCTATACGGTGCTTCTGCCGGGGTGTCTCCGTCCCGGATGCATCTACCCCCATATGTTTCGGTCGCAGCTCGGGAGCCATCAACTCAAAGCAACTCGTCACTCCCGCTTGCCGCACTCTGCTCGATCGCCTCCAGAATGGCGCTTTCCTCGAATACCGGACCTTGGCCATCGCACTTGGCCTGCCCCTTCAGCAGCTCGCTGACAGCCTGAATGTCGACCAGCCCGCGTCTGAAAAGGTCATGGTTCTGCATCAGGTCCCAAGCCGCACCGGCTGCCAACAGGCGCTCCCCGCTCTCGCTCTTGACCACCCTGTGGCTCAGCGTCTTCTCGTTGTGGTTCTCCAGCAGGTTCGAGTAGAAGTCCGTCGGCTTGTAGGACATGGGGCCCGTCGTCAGGGGCGTCCCGGCGCTCCCTAGAGGAGACCCGACGGCGGCGGCACCGGCGGCCGCCAAGGATGTAGCCCGCAGTATCTCGTTCTCGGTGCTGACCTTTTGGAGGTCCTGTTTCAGCTTCTCATTTTCCGACTGTCTCAGCTGGGCTTCCTCCTCCAGTTGTTGTAGACGGGTTTCAAGTTCTTTGACGTGGCGTTCTTTGCGTTCGCGGAAGGCTCGTTGACTGCATATATGGCGAGATCTGGTCAGCTAAGGTCCTGTGTTCTCAAATTCTTTCTTGGCACTGCATGATCTGTAGGGCCCGGTCTATGGGGTAAGGGAAAGCCAAACGTGGGACAAAAGGACATGTGAGACATGTGACAGCGTGACCCAAGGGTCATTCTGCTTGTCTGACCCGAGTCATCAAGATAGGACAGGCGAGCAGAGAGTAAGAGAGGCGGTGTGTAACGTACGCGGCGCGGTTCTGGGCTTTCCGTCTTGACTGAGCGGGCGTCAGGTTTTCGTCTTCCTCAGAGTTTGAGCCCTGTCTGCGGGCTCGGGCTTCGTCGGCAGGCTCTCCTTTGGCATTGTTAAGGGATTGTAGGAGGTCAGATGTAGACTGCTGCTGATGTTGAAGGTGTATGGAGCCGTTGATGGGCTGCGCAGTCGGAGGAAGCTGCTGGGTCGGCGGGGTCGGGGGCCCGGCAAAGGTTGTTGATTGAGCATTGAACTGGGTAAAGGCCTCGAAGTTCTGGAACTGGTCAGGGAGCCCGTTCTGAAATTGCTCGAAGAGTTCCTGCCCCTGAGTAAGAAATGTGTAAGCCATTCGATTGCCTGGGTAGATCGTGCGCTAGCGGGTCGTGAGGTGCAGAGAGGAACGTCAATGGCATGCTGAGAAACGCAGGAACAATCGAAGGAAATGCCACTCGGGTCCATATGTAGCTATAGATCCGCAACCTAAAGAACCTCCGCTTCTCCCTTCCAGTTCCATTTAAATCAAAAGCATGGAACTCACCTGTGGAGAGGCGTTGTTGAAGTCGTCCGAAACGGCCGAGTTTGAATGCGAAGGGGTGAGGGGAGGAATACCGAGGAAGTGGTACGGCGGCTGGGCGCCAGCGCCGGCGAAGTATACTGGGTTTGTATAGTCCATCGTATAAAGTACTAAGCTAGTTGGTGTGCTCAGAGTATCGTATGGAGTGTTGTTGATTCGATATCGTGTGATGCCCTGATGTTTCGTATTCAAGAAGGATTGTGCTCTCGAAAAAAAAAAGACCGAATGGAAGGACCTACGCAGTGGGATGGATCGAGGATGGATGATCACTGACCAAATGAGCAGTGGAATGAGTGTAAAGGGCAGTTGTTTTCTGACAGCCCAAGAACTTGTTCGGTCGAGACCGACATCGAAAAGGCGAGGGGAAGGCGGGATTCTTGCAGTGGGCTACCTGGGGACTCGGTGGCCGTGGATCTGCAGTGGGTGGGAAAGGGCACAGAAAGTGCCAGAGACAGAACCGAAAGTCGGGGGTGGGGCCACACAGTTAGCGGTCATCACTGACCAGGGGTCGCCTTGTATCCCAGCGCGGTTCGAGATCCCGTCAACATGAACCAGACACTCGCACCCATCTCATGAAGGAAAAGGGGTCGACTGCATTTCTTGCCCGTTCACGAGCTGCCTCATCAGATGGGAGCTCATCCGGAGGCAGCTAAGGAAGGCCATACGGAACCTTATTCCTCCTCCTATACTCATCATCTTTAGATGCTGACAGCGTGCCGCTTGGACGCTGAATTACACGAATGACAACATCCATGCCCTAAAAGTTAGGTTAACTACAGCCTTACCCGACACCAAAATCGACGGCAGCATGCTTTTGCAAATCAGGCTAGGGTGCATGCGGGCTGAGCAGCCTGGTACATGAACAAGTGGAAGTGTCGGTGCCTGGATGCACACAGGACAGTCTGACAGCTGGCCCCTCGCCGCAATGATGGAGTGTTGGCCATCAGAGTTGCCGCACAGATGCAGATACTCTACACATGGGTTCCATCAATCTCAGCCCTTGTATGGAAGTATTCTGATTTTCAGTCCGGGCATGGCGATGGGAAGTCCGGCATGGTGGGAGGGCAAGGCGGGAGTCTCGAGAATAGGGGTGGCGTTCCCTAGAGGCGTCCGATTGGTATCCGAACGATTGTCTCATGCTGAAGATGTTGCGATTCCAGAGACTCGAGACACTTGCCGCTGCGATCCGTGGTATTCACTACATCGGCGGAAACTAATATGTATTGCATGAACAAACAACAAAGTTCTTAAGTCGACTGTCTCCGTCAAACTCGGGCTGACCCTTCACGCGAGGGGTGAACCTTCAACCAGTGAGATTTGTGGTGTGGTGATCAAGACCCGTGGTTCGCGTCTCTTTGGCCGGGATGTTGTACAACCAGAGGAGATTGAATCTCGCCTGATTTATTTCCCATAAAAACTAACAGCGGGAGCTAGACAATCATCCATGAAGTATCTAAGCGGGGCGGAAGAGAATAAGGTCGGTGTCGATGTCCTGGGCGAGGAGAGCGAGGCATGCGAGGGCGAGTACATACGGAGCGGGAGGTTGTCGCTGCCCCACTCCCGAGCGGAGGCCCTCCCGCTCCGGGTCTGGAGCGAATGATCAACGATGTCTTAGCCCCACTCTTCACTGCTACCGAAGCCAACAACTTCGGGGTCGTCAAGTTTCACCAGAACACGTTCCGAACCATAAACAGCCCGACTCCTGCTCGCTAAGGCTACCGAGCGGGACATGTTTCGAAAATCACTTTTCATCGTCCATACTTCACATAGCAATTATCTTTCATGGGCGTTGTCCGCGAGGCTTTTCTCACTTGGCGAGCCGTCCTCCGGCATGTGATGTTGAAAAGCCCTGCCACGGACGTTTGGATAACGAGAACTTTGGTACTGTACTCACGACACTCCCGTACGATTTTCTATATGTCGGAGTCAACAACTGTATATTCCCACGATTGTTGCCTCTTGCTCTCCTGCCCCGGGTTTCATATTTGCCGTCGTCATTCTCCCCTCTATCACCCTTGGAGGGTGAGATGAGTGGCACCCCTAGGCAATCGACCTGTTCTTATCAGCTGAGTTCTTATATCTAAACGTTTCAATCCAATCATCATTTCCCTGAGCTCGTTTTGCGTCCTCGTTGCTTACACTTTTGGGGTGGCAAAAATAGTATTGCTGTGACTTCGGTGGCGAGGCACAACATCATGCCCTTGCAGGCGGTTCCATTGTCGAAAGTGATGATACTACAGTTGGCTTCCAGTCTGAACCAACCACCATGACGTCTATCTAGAATCATGTTTTTCGATGCCTACCTGTGTGGTCCATCATGGTCTGGATACTCTGCCACATGAGTGATGCAGAACAGGCCACTGTTGGCGCTCATAGCCACACAACGGATCACAATTTGTCACTCATATCTGCTCAACTCGGTCGGCAAACTTCGAGGAGAAGGCTGTACTGACCAGAAGATCACTGCGGGCTTGCTTACTGGCCTGAGAGCTACAGAGACACCTATCCGGAATTACAAGATGAACAAAAAAAGCAGGATGTTAGATACCCCCGGTCGGACTCTACCATGCCCTGGGTAGATAGAACGCGCCCTTTGGTTTTTCTCTCATTGACGTGGAGCTTGGACACCATAGCTTCGCCTATGAGAGACTCGTCAGACCGAAAGCTCATTGCCCTGGCATTAGATGATCATGCGGTGTGTGATACTTCGCTCTCACGCGCTACGAGATAGGTGAGTAGCCAGTTCAACCGATCTCTTTCTCTGGTCCCTTCTTGAGATGCTTTATTGAGCCGTGTGTTGCCATCAATGAAGCTGTGGGAAGATTTTCCTAGCTACTGAGTCGGTATACCGTGGGCTATCAACTCAAGTGTTTGAAAGGTCATATAAGAATGCGGGACGCTCACGGCCAGCCTCAACCCAAAAGAGGACTCGTCAAAATGGTTACTTTCTACTTTGCATTTCTTTGTTTTCTTCATTTCTCCTAGTTCGTCCCTCACGTCATTTTCCAACCAGTTTGGTGAATCAGGAAGCTGTTTGCATAAGGCCGTCGTCGAAGTCGAACATAGAGCGTACCTAGTCTTGGGCACAAATTGAAACTCTCCCGACATAGAGCACTCCAATAATTAGGTAACAAAGACAGTTGACGCAT